TTTCACTTTATTAGACTTTATTATTTATATATATTAATTTATTTAAAAACATAATTTATATTTTAAATCTTAATTTAAAATTTTTATACTCTATATTAGTATTCATCTAAAAATATAAATTTATTATAATTAATTAATTTTAATTAATATTTTATAATTCTTAATTATTTTAATTAATATTTTATATATTTTAAAATAATAAATAATAATAAAATAAACTTGCAGAAACAACACCGCGAAGGAATATCGAAGGAACCGTCTAACCTTATCTTATGTTGGGGCTTTTCGATTATTCTTGAGAACAACTTCTTTGACTTTTATTTTATTTTATTTTATTTTATTTCATTTTCCCTTTGCCTGTCATGAGATGGTCCTACTATTCTGTATGGAGTACGTCACAGATGACTGTTAAGTAGCGTGTACATTTTTCAGAAATGGATTATGTTAAACTAGTACTTAAATTGAAGTCTTCCCTAATTTCAGCATTGAGCATAAGTATATGTGATATTTATGGATATTTAAAAAGTTTAAAAATAATACTAAGCCTCTAATTTATACTAAATATTTATTATTCTGATTTACGTAATTCTGAATTTTTATAATTTCAATATATAATTATAAAATATATATACAAAGTACTAATTATAAATTTTTTTTATTTGAAAGTATTAATTATAAAAAAAAATTTATTTTACATTTTAAACTTTATGATATTTTTACAAATTAGAAATCTAAGATGTTATTTATCACTACTATTATTTTTCTCAAAACACAAAAAGTCCACATACAGAAACGACCACCTTTTATTCACGTAGAATTCCAATTCTTATCTTCTTCGGTTCACTTACACATTCTTTAAACGAAACAAATTAAACAAAAAAATCTACATTTATCAATTTATCCTAATCCTGCAGGGCATCATAAAGAAGAAAAGTTATGATGGATGTCCGAAATATATAAAAAAAAAAAATTGGATAATTTATTTATTTATTTATTTTTTAACAAGAGCAATGATTAATAAGTTAATTTTATTAATTGTTAACAATTGAAAATTCGATTATCAAATCTAATGAACATCCTACCTTTCTCAACGAGGTGCGTGACCCATCGAGCCTGCTATGTGGAGTTCAATTTATTTATATTTTAGACACAAAAGAAACTTAGTTTATTAGGTTATTCGTGGTATCAACTATACAAATATTTTTTTGATGCAATCGAATTAAGAGTTATACAATAAGGATAGTTGTGCTTTTTCAAAATTTTTCTGCATTTATCTTAAAATTTAAATTTG